ATATACTTTGATTAACTTTGGTGGACTGGTTTTCAATGAGTAAGATTAGTGAAGCACTTCGAATATAGTAAAATATATGCTATCAGTATAATGAAGTTTGTAACAGAGTGTTGGAGAGAGTTTTGCAACTTGACGAATTCCCTGCATAGTTTGAACATTTTCGCTGAGTCTAGTACTCTTTCACATTGACCTTTGTAATGGCTTCTGTCTGCTGTAGCTTGCTAAGTTATCCGTACTTGTTACCACTGCAGTATAGTTTGTGATGCGAAAACTTGGAGTTTAATTTACAGAAAGCCCATTCTGTGTCTTTAGAATAGCGATACAAACAGGTATCCATCAGTCAGTTGTTTCATTTATTCTCTGTGAAAAAACTCCTACTCTTGTTGGTGGTGTTGGGTTTATAAAAAGAGATGCGTGTGTACACGTTCCCAGGTTACTTTTCTTCAGTTGTATCACTAGTTCCTTGCATAATATAATTTATGAATGATGGTATTGAGCAGTTACTTCAGAGCTGACTTCGCCTTTGTCCCGATATATTAAGGTGCAATGCTTTCAGTCCTAATCTGGGCAGCAGCGTTCACAATCTGAACAGACAACTTTTAGAGAGCCTTTTGAACAGATTAAATGGTTATTAATTTCGGATATGTGTTGCCTTGTTTTTGGATCTGCGATGATCCAATAAAAAGTCTCTAACCTGTTACCATAGAGTTAGAAATACTCTGTTTCTATCTGCATACTTATTTTTCTTCATTGAGAAGTCATATGTCAGTTTCGGTTGATTTAGTGCCACGCTGCTCCGGAACTATCTTAAAGAGTAATTTTTGTTTAAACTTTGCTGGCTCCATCCGAGGCTCCATCATCTTATCGTGACTCTATTTTTGTCCCTGGTTTGGCCTCGGCTTGTCTTTATAGCTGTTGTAATCTTCTCTTAATATGTTTCATGTCAAGGTAAGCAGTAATTAATTACTGTTATCTTGAGGTCTTCAGTCGTTTTCCAGGCAGTTTTGAGGTTTTTGAACATGTTTAACATTCTTTGTGTGCCTGTCGCAAATCAGGAGCCTGTAATTCAGTGATTGTCGTTGGATGCTGTCTGTGTCTGTCTCTATATAGTCAGGAGTCTGTTATTCAGTGGTTGTCGTTGGATGCTGTCTGTGTCTGTCCCTATATAGTCAGGAGCCTGTAATTCAGTGATTGTCGTTGGATGCTGTCTGTGTCTGTCCCTATATAGTCAGGAGTCTGTAATTCAGTGGTTGTCGTTGGATGCTGTCTGTGTCTGTCCCTATATAGTCAGGAGCCTGTAATTCAGGGGTTGTCGTTGGATGCTGTCTGTGTCTGTCTCTATATAGTCAGGAGCCTGTAATTCAGTGATTGTCGTTGGATGCTGTCTGTGTCTGTCCCTATATAGTCAGGAGTCTGTAATTCAGTGGTTGTCGTTGGATTCTGTCTGTGTGTGTCCCTATATAGTCAGGAGTCTGTAATTTAGTGGTTGTCGTTGGATGCTGTCTGTGTCTGTCCCTATATAGTCAGGAGCCTGTAATTCAGTGGTTGTCGTTGGATGCTGTCTGTGTCTGTCCCTATGTAGTCAGGAGCCTGTAATTCAGTGGTTGTCGTTGGATTCTGTCTGTGTGTGTCCCTATATAGCCAGGAGTCTGTAATTCAGTGGTTGTCGTTGGATGCTGTCTGTGTCTGTCCCTATATAGTCAGGAGCCTGTAATTCAGTGGTTGTCGTTGGATTCTGTCTGTGTGTGTCCCTATATAGTCAGGAGTCTGTAATTCAGTGGTTGTCGTTGGATTCTGTCTGTGTGTGTCCCTATATAGTCAGGAGTCTGTAATTCAGTGATTGTCGTTGGATGCTGTCTGTGTCTGTCCCTATATAGTCAGGTGTCTGTAATTCAGTGATTGTCGTTGGATGCTGTCCGTCTTATTTGCTTTTTGTTTATTGTTTTGTCATAGATCAGGGCGTTGGTTGTCATGACTCAATTAGTTAACATTTTCTCATGTCGAAGCCTTTTATAGCTAACTATACGGTATGGGTTTTGCCTGAGATTACTATAACACATATAATGTCGAAGAGACGTACTAAACAATTTGAATTTTTTATAATTTGCCATTATGCACGTCTTTTAACATTGCTAAATACATTTAGATATACATAAACTGACGGTCACATTATCTATAACCAGATCATGAAGTATCCAGTGAAAAGTAAAATCTGCGGAAACCGACGTCCATGAACTTTTGAAAATGACCCATAAAAATATGTCCACAAAAAGTCAAGTTTTGAAAATGAACAATTAAAATATGTCCACAAAAAGTCAACTTTTGAAAATGACCAATTAAAATATGTTACAAGCATCCATTTCTTACAAAATGAATAGTATGTTGGAATATTCCAAGTTAAAACCCACTACAAAAAATATCAGCATACTATACGATCATACACAAATTCAGAGGCGGATTTAGGGGAGGGCCAGAGGGCCCGGTCCCCTCATGAAGCTACATATATGATAAATGCATAGACTTTTTACAAGTATCACTCCAAACGTTGGCTTGTCAGGCCCCCTTTCAAAATCCTTGACCCGAAATTAAGCACTATACAAACAAAAACATAAAAGAATACAGCATAATAATAAACATGAGACATCTTTAAGTATAACCCCATTTCATTTAAAGTAAGTAAGTAAGTAAATTTTATTTAGAGTCGGCATATATATACATAATAACAGACAAAACATGAGCTCTGGTGAGCTCTTTAACCGACTATCACATAAAAGTCATGCAGCATCATGCAAATACTAATAGATAAAAATGAAAAAGCATGCAAATATAATGAAAGCAAATTAATTTTGATTTCTGAGCCTCCAGAGTCAAAGCTCATGCGGCAAGCACCTCTATGTGCATTGAACGGGCCGGGGAACCAGAAAATCACTTAGATATCTTAAAATACTAACAAACTAAAATGCATAAAAGCAATAAATAAATAAATTATTAAGCACTGGCATTTAATAGCAGGTATATATAATAAATGCATAAAAAAGCAGAGCAAAAGGCCATAATGAAAAATAAAAAGAAAGAAAGAAATTTTAGCTTTGAGACAGCACTGGATGGAAACGGCATGAACTGCAGTTGCATTTTTGACCCCCACACCAGGAATTTATATAATTCCTAAATTGGTCAAAAGAGGTCATAATTCTAGCCTCATTGGGAAGGGAGTTCCGTACTTGTGCTGCCTCAAATCTAAAGGATCTTTTACCATAACTTGAGGTTCTAGGTCTAGGTACCTCATCAGTGTTCACATACCTGAAATTATATGAATTGTTTTTTATAACAACTAGATCTTGAATAAATAATGGACATTTTTTATTAATTATTTTAAAGGTCTCCAAGGCAATTGAGCACATCCTACGAGTTTTTAGTGAAGGAAGGTTTAAAATTTGCAGGAGTGTTTCGTATGAATTCTGATGGTCTTCATAAATAAAGCGAAGCGCTCGTTCTTGTATTTTTTCTATTTTTCTGGTATTTTGTTCCCCACAGAAATGCCAAGTCAAAGGGCAATAACTAAAGTTTGACATAATAAAAGAGTAATAAATTGTAGGTTTACTCAGTTTGTTTAGGTGTTTCCCAATTCTTTTCAAAACATTTAACTGCCTTGCAGCCTTTTTACAAATATTTGAAATATGTAAACTGAAGTTTAATTTAAAATCAATTGTAACTCCAATTAGTTTTACCTCATCCTCACATGGCATAGAAATACCATTCAAATCAAACACAATCTTTTTATCATGTGTTTTTTGCCAAGAGAGATAGCTTGAAATTTCTCTGGGTTGGCCTGCATCAGTTTATTTGAAGAAAACCACTGTATAAAATAATTGCTGTCGTCCTCAAGAGCAGAAATTACATCTTGTAAGGAATTTCCAGACTTTGACAAAGAATTGTCATCAGCATAATCATATAAAGAACACTTTTTTACAAAAAAGAACAATTCATTTATAAAAATATTAAATAGGATGGGTCCAAGGATGGAACCTTGTGGTACCCCTTTAAATATGTCAAGCATACCACTTAAATTTTGGTTTACTTTCACACACTGTTTTCTTTTTGCTAAATAACTATATAACATATCAAGTGAGGATTTGGAAAGACCATAAGCTTTTAGCTTCAGTAGCAGTAAGTCATGGGGGAGACAGTCAAATACTTTTGACAGGTCCATAAGCAGTGGCGGATCCAGAAATTTTTATAAGAGGGGGCCCGCTCCAGTCACGCTTCAGTGATTCCCTATATAATCAACCATTTTTTTCCCGCTAAAGGGGGGCCAGGGCCCCCTGCCCCCTCCCCCCCCCCTAAATCCGCCTCTGCATAAGGATAGCTGCAAGGTATTTATTTTGGTCTAAGGCTAATTTCCAATCTTCAATCACTCTTAATAAAGTTGACTGACAGCCAAAACCTGATCTAAAAGCTGCCAAAAAATGGATTGAAGATATTATCAAAGTACTGTACTAATTGTAGTATGGCATTTTCAAAAATTTTAGAAATGGCCGGTAATACACTTACCGGTCTATAATTACCTTTTTCTAATCAGTAGTACCCTATTCTTTTTGTGAATAGGTGCAACTTGAGCTTCCTTAAGACGGTCAAGGAAGGTTGGTGATGATAATGATAAATTAACAATATCGGTAAGAGGTTTTACAATAGCAGGTTTAGCAAAATGCAGTAATTTAGGTGAAATACCATCTATTCCAGTGGCTTTTTTAACATTAATTTTACGGATACGTTTCTCAACGTATAATAGCGGAAATAGTGAAATACATTTATTGATTTACTTATAGCTGGGCTAGAGACATGTAATGCAATTATATGTATTTGGCTGGGCCAATATCTTTTCACTTTCCGGTCAGCTTTCCGTAGGATTTCTCCCTAATGAAACGATACTTTTCCGGAAAATTTACAAGATTTCTTCGGATGCGGGATAAATTTATTATCCATAATATACTTCCTGTTTAAAAAATATCTTCTCGCTGAAGAAAAATACCGCAAAAATCAGATTCAAATGATCGGAAATGGACCTTAATGACTGGTAAATGACCATATTAAACAATTTTACTTAAAATGTTAGTCACTTGGCAAATATAGCTACTTGTGAATATGATTCAATCAAACTAATTTGTTTTACAAAATCTTTAACAAAAATGTCCTACCTTACCAGATACTCTATCATATGGACGAGTGGATCCCCTATGATGTTATATGTTGGGGAAATCACGAAAAGCATGAACATTAATTTAATGGGATTTAACTTGTCTTTATCAATCAGGGGTATGACTAGCTGCGGAACTGTAGCCCTTCGCCGGCTTCGGTCCTATTGATATTTGTCAAAGAATATCATAAAGACCTAAGTCTAAGAGCTACAGTTCCGCAGCTAAGGTATGACCTGTTAATTGCTTTCTAAGATCAATCATCCCTTTCAGTTATTCATGTATATTAATTTCAGGAGTGTGAAAGGCAGGGCTTCCAAGATTCGTATTGTCCGCACTTGTTGTGCAGAGGCTGAAACTGACATTTTAACATAGTTCAGAAAAAAAAATTGAAGTTTATGCGATCTTTTTGACCTGACCTTTTGCCTTAAACAGCCACACATTTCCGGTCATATAAGTGACATGATGAATAATTACTATCAAAACAAACCCTACCTTAGTACCCTCTCATTACAATTAAGGTTAATTAGTTCTCTGACAGCTGAAATTTTCCTGTTCAAGTGACTAAAACTATTTTGTACCTGACATTGATCAGTCGATTAAAAGTTATTTTGTTAAATTTCAGCGGTTTGTATCTAATTAATTTAGTCAACAAGATTTAGATTATCAGAAAACGTATATATAGATATAATTTGATGAAAATTTAAAAAGGTAGTAATAAAGGTTTTAAGGGAAAAATCATCAGAACCACGTTTTTTGAACTAGTACACTCGTGCGCAGGTGTGAGATTTAGTTATGCATCCGAATTTTCAAAAATGCTAAAAATATCATTGATACTTTTATCTAACGTTCATCTCGGATTTTTTTCTGAAGAAATAACGCGGAAAGAGCTACTTAAACTCCTTTTTAAAACAAAAGTGAAGTTATTGACAGTGTAATTTTGCAATAATAAAGAGTCTAAGGCAGATATTAATTAGTACGCTGATGTTGCACACTTCGAATGGTGCACTGTCAATTTAACAATTACCTGGTAATGCCAGAACATCGAATTTATATAAAAAAATCAAGTTAAATATTGTTTTTGTGTCAATCTTAATTTATATGATGCCCAACTGATTACTATGGTAGCCTTTTGTTACTAAGTCTTAAGGGATTAAAATCGGGATAAGACCCAAAAAAAAATTTCCAGCTGGCTCAAATATTTTTTAGAAGCCCTAGTGCAAGGCCAGTAAGTTAGTGCACTAAATCTTTAAAAAGTACCTTGGGAATTTCCATATAATTAAATATTCATTAAGGACAAGTTCAAGTTCAAATATTTTAATGTCAATAAAAGACCCCAATTACAGGCAGAATAATCTAGTAAAATTTGGTACAAATGATTACAATGATTTGGTTACAATTAAATTTATGAATAAAGTGAGAGAGAAAAAGAAAATGACACAATAATGTATATTTATATAAATATTATATGTTTTCACATTGACAAATACAGTGATCCTAAAAATATACAAAACTGGATTAAGACAGAGGTCAACAGTTCTAAGTTCCCTGATTTGACTTCTTTATTTTATGGGTAGCTGTACATGTATCACTGACATATTACCCACATCTCAATTTATTTATATTAACAAGTGATATAATATCTTAAAAAGCTAGCCAACACAGTGTTCTCCCCATGCCGTTTTAGTGCTTTGGTATTCAGCGCTGTCATATTTCAGCACTGTGCTATTGGGCAGACAGCAGTGATATCCAATCAAATATATATCAGCACTATTGTTTTTCAATTTTCAAATTTCTGGTGTTTATCTGTACAATTAGGATCACATGATGGACTGGTTGATTTGTCTGAGATTGTTTATTCACCAAACGAAGTCAAATTTTGGAGGGGCCAGTTCAATGAAAAGAACAAAATGGCGCCATTGGCAGAACTGTTACTGTCAAAAAGACCTATTTCTTTCTGGAGTTTTTCACTTTTAAGTATAAAAAGATGCAGAAACTTCATGGAAAGGATGGATAGTGCTCAATGAATCATTGTCAAAGTATTTAAGGAAAGGTTTACCCTTTCATTTTAATTTTTAAAGCTAAATAATAAAAATGAAATTTATTTTCATTTTTGTTAATCATGTTAATGCATATGTATAAAAAAATGCAGGTCTTTGTCTATTTAATATATTACATGTATAACCAACAATGCAGTTATAAATAAATGTAACATCACGTCCCAAATGCGAAAGGTGAATCAATCAATCTAATATCTTGCGCTATAAAAAAATCCTGTGGAGAACACTGCAACATATGATTTTTATTCAAACTTTAACAAAGTCCTTACTGCTGTAGAAAAATATGGTTTTGAAAATGACATAAATTTTGTAATCCAAAGTCATTGTATAAATAAATTCATTGACAGTGGTATAAAAATATGGTTATCATTGGACTCTCTTGCTCCAGTAGTTAAACCCTTGCTAAAGTGAGTCGTCTGTTTGGCTGTGCAGGATGTATAGGTGATTGTGACACTTTCAGCACATTGCATCAATTCTCTGAAGGTCTGCATGCTGTGGTCTATTGAAGGCAAAATTTCTACCTTGTTCCTATATGCATGTACACTTATTTTGCAGTGGCAGTTCAAATTATTCGCCCTTCACCAATGTCATCCTCCCTGCAGAACCTACATATTGTATTATTTGTTAATTTTTTCTCAGCCTGAATAAGGATTTAATTACTGCTATTGGACATTAATAAGCAAAAATTGTTAATAAAATAATGATGTCAAATCAAATAACTAAGAATTTTAATGATAGAGCAATTAATGAATATTTAATTATACGGAAATTCCCAAGGTGCTTTTTAAAGATTTATTGTTATCAGAATTGTCCATTGAATAAATTTCATTTCTGTAGCGAAATAGGAAAAGCAAATGTAATAAAATAAATATACATGTATATCATGTATATTATGCCAAATACAATTTATCTGAAGATTTTCCTCCACCTTTTGAAAAAATTGTGCAATGAATTTAATTTTTATTTCCTTTGAATTTTGAAACCATTTCATGATGTATTATTAATAATAATGTGTGTTGTTATTCTTGTGTGTTAGATATCATTCATTTGGGTTTATGGTCCAAATTTTCGACACAAAGTTAAATCAAAATTTGGTTTATTTATTATCACTGAAATTTGTGGCACCACTGATCATGCTGATCACAAACACCATGTCGATTTTGCAACAGGAAGTCGGGAAGTTTTATATGAAACAAAAATCACCACAGGTACAAATATGAACTAGTAACGGAAGTAAAAAAAAATCCATAAATTAAAACAGCTTTTTACATTAGGTCAATTTCAAAGGGTTGAACAGGGGATAAAAATCTATCAATTAATTTTAATTGACTTGAAATTCATGTAGCTTGCTGTCATCTTCTTTACTAAACAATATATATGCAGTTGAAACTACTCAAGTGTAGCTCTGTGGCATGTTGAGTGTAGTGAAAGTGCAGTTTCGACTTGGAATATAACCCTACCATGATTTAAACATATGAACAAATGTATTTAATTTGAATAAGAGAGGCGAAAGATACCAAAGGGACATTCAAAACAGTCTTTTTATTTTTTAAAGATCCTTGCCATGAAAAGAGCCTACAGTCAATGTTGAAATGCCATCAAATGCAGACTTCCGTTTAAGTATACTTGTTGGTGACACGCTATTGCCTGAATATGAAAAAGATGGTATTGTGTATGTAGAAAGTAGCTTCTTTACACCACACAGTTATAAGCAACAAGCTGAAGAAAATGTGAATGGTGAGACTGAAGTCCAGGTGAGTTAGTGCCTTCAAAAGAGATTCAGTATGAAATGCAATTTACTCAGCAATAATTAAACAGACTAACATGACTAATACAGCTGTACTTTGATGAATCTAAAAAGTACATACTGTTGAAAAATGTAACTGCCTTCATGTGGCTTTTCTCAATATAAATTTCCCACATTTTTAAAGAGTTTACAGACTCAAAAACATTTCTCTCATTATCTTTTAATTTCAGATTAGAAAATTCTGTATATGATGAAATGAAAATTAATTAGAAGTAATCAATGAGTAAAATTCCAAATACTCTTATCAATTTCATTGATAATCTGTTGTTTTTTTTTCTAATGTTTTTTGTATGTAGTACTTTGTTTTACCCCCATATTTCACTATATAATTATATTTTTATTTCCTTCTAGCCATTAGTCGGTGCTTGGCAACAATGGGTATTTGCTTGGTTCAAATGATATATTTATTTTACTAATTTCCAGTTTCAAATATGAAAAGCAGCAAATACTTGTATGAATGCAATGCAATTTTGAATGAGACTGGAATTGTAATTTCAGAGTTGGCCAGTCACACCATTTTCAGTATGTATAGAAACAGAACCAAGCAGTCAGGCTTGTTACTATAGAGTATATGTTGATGGTCAAAAAGTCACAAGTAAAAGTGTCACTCCTGGAACAAATAGGTTAGAATTATAAAGAATTAAGTGTTAGAAATAACAACTACTGATGGCATGCAGATGTAGTGCCATGTCAATAAAATTGAGCAGTAGTCAGTTATTTTTATTAAAGACAATCACTATAGAACATGTAGAATAGAGAATGGAAACAAGGAACGTCTCAAAGAGACAACAAACCGACTAAAGAGCAAAAAACAGCCCAAGGCCACCAATTGGTCTTCAACATAGCAAGAAAATCGCGCACCCAGAGCCAGGCTTCAGCTGACCCCTAAACATTAATGTATACTAGTTTGATCTTAGCAAAGTCCAAAAGTTTGGTCTTATTGATTTGTATGAATATTGAAGAAAGATGAACATTTTAAAACCTCTCACTGTTACAAATGAAAGAGACCTTTTTTTTTTTGGAGCAAGTGGTTTATTATCACTAAACTAAGTTCAAATCTTACATGTAAAGAAAAAACTTGTATCCATGTATATCATATATGTGGTAATCACTGCACTATGTTCCTCTAGAAGGGCAGATTAGATTAGTTTAGGCAGCAATTATATTTTAATGTTTTTTGAATTGAGATTAGAGTTTTATGTTATTTGTTTAATGACACCGTAGATTTTATGTCTTTTTTTTCCCATTCTTTTTCATTAAGAATCAATTACCTTATTTGAAGACAGCTTACTAGCAAGGATCTTGTTATGAGCTTACCTCACCCAAAGGGCCATGTGAGCTTTTGCCATCACTTGATCCCTGTCAACTGTCAACTATCATTAGTGTCTGTAAACTTTTACAAAAATCTTCTCTGAAACTACTGGGCTATAATTGAACCACAATCATCCTTGGGGTATCTGGTTTTAAAAATGTTTCCAATGATCCTGCTGGCCAACCAACATGGCCACCAAGACTAAAAATTTAACATAAGGTAAAATGTCACTACAAATGTGTTGTCTATTATTTCTGAAAACTGAATTTTTATCACACAAGCATAAGTGAAGCTTTTTTTTTTTTTTTTTTTGTCTCTCTATCTCTCCTGTACCAGATTAGTATCTATTCAGTTATTCTTTTAAACTTTGTCCCTCTGATATTTAAAAAAAATATAAACTTTAGTTTACTATGCTTTCTTATTTACAGGGTAATTAAAGGTTTTAGAGATGGTACCCTTGTTAGAGAATTTTTGTTTTCTTTACCAAGATTTGCCAAAAATGAGGTGAGTATTTATTGTAATTTATTTTAGCTGTACATCTTAAGACTTATATAATTATATTTGTGTTTCGTAAAGCAGTTTTGACAGTTTTTATAACTACTAAATTCTTTAGCAATTATAGACCTTTTTCCTTTTGTCTGCCTTTAACCATGTTAACCAGATCAGTTAATGTTGCCAACTTTAATCAGCTAGTTTTTCATTTAACTATAAACAAATTACCTCCCCTTCCTGGTCAAAAGAAAGAAGTGAGCACAAATAAAAACAAATTTGTCACATTTCTTTTCTGCTACAATATGGGAAATACCTGTTTGCCGTTTGGGAAAATCTTATTTAAATGTGTTTCGTACACATGTGCAGTTTTTATTTAATGGCTTTTTATATCTTTACATGAACAAAATAGAATGTATGACAGTTTGAAAATAAAATGATGTGAAAGTACAATGTTATAAGGTTTAACCAAGCTTATACCTATTCAAATAAGTAAAAGTTTGACCACTGAAATAATTATTGTATCATGTGTGAAATTCTGTTGTAGTTTTATGACATATTGAATTGAAAATTCTTCTTTTCAGTTTGACAGAATAGATGGCAATTTATCTTCCAAAGTTGGTATCATTGAGGTTGAGAGTTGTTATGCCACATTAAAAACAACACAAAAAAGGATGCGCAACAAGAAGCTTGAATATGATCAGGCTAATAAAAAGGACTGTGGCAGAGTTACTGGTGGTAAGGTTAATTTAGACTATTAAAAAGTGACATAAAAAATAAGTTCATTCCATTAAAATACACAAGAAATTAAAGTTATAGGTCATGTTGGTGTTGATGAAAAAAGGACTGTGATTATTTAAGAACCTAACGAGGAAACATACCAATGAAAAGTTCTGTAACAAACACTGATTTCAAAGTTCAAAAAAGACCAACACAGTGTTTGATGGAGGGGTCTGTGAAATCGACTAACAGTAAATGATATTCATGTTGATTGAAATTATTATAAGGTTGAATAGACCAATAAAAGGGGCTGTAACAAAATTACTGGATGCATTGTCACATTGCCAAATCCCTTCAACTGATAGCATCTTATTCTTTTGAGAAAAAAATTCTGTCAAAATTTAAAAGGGAGAGATCTTTAAATTTTGTTTCAAATTTATTTTGAACAGACATTGGCACTAATGCAAGCCTTTATGCAGCAGTAATGATAAGATCACTGGCTAGGGCAAAATTTTATGCTTTTCTTGTAGTACTGGAATGGAAGATATTTACTAAATCAATAATTTGTCAATTTCAATGTCCCCGCTGAGTGGCACGGTCATTGAGGTTTATCCATCCGTCCGTACATTGTACGTACGTCCATCCTTATGTCCTGAAATTGGTTTCTGTTCTCTAACTTTAGTTTGCCTCAACTAAATGATATGAAGCTTATACATTATGCTTATTATTACCAAACACAGATCAAGTTTGAATTTGGATGGCATCACTTTCGTTGTTCTTGAGTTATGTCCCTTTTTAAAAGGAAAAATTGTTGTTTTCGCACTCAACTTTACTTTGCCACAACCAAATGTAACTTACTGTGGATACATTTATTTTCGTGGGTATCAATTTTCGTGGATAGAGAAAAAAAGACGTTTCGTGGTATACGTAAATTCGTGGATCGCTGATTACAAAAAAAAAAAATCAGATACGTAATTCGTGGTTTTCTTTTTGATTTTGGAGATCATATAACCTCCTTGGTTTGATCAATAATAAAACAAACAAAAAAGAAGGAATTCATTGAAAAAGTTTTGAATTGTCAATATCCTCGCTTGGTCATTCTAGGTTAAAGTGTTCATTGAAAACTTCTATTACAATAATGGACAGAGACAACTAATTATTTGTTTGTTTTACAATTTATAAATTCTTGTCGGAATTTTAAAAGGCATTCAAACTCTATGATTGAAAGCTCATTTCCTTAATCACGATATAATAATCAGTCATATAAGTAAAAGGTGTGAAAATAAATGTTCCTGTCATAAACAATATTACCTACGGGCAATATCCCCGTACTTAATCCTATTGATTTTTAATCACCAGTAAACCAAACTATGACACGGTAATTAACAACTTGCAGTTATTTTCCATGAACAGTTTTAATCAATTTTAAAAAGTAAATTATCACTGATATTCGATATATTTATTATTGATTTAATCAAAATACTTGTATCTTCTTTCAATAAAAACACATGTTATGTTACAATGTTTATCGCTAGTCAACACTATACTAGAAGTGCATAACATAACCGGATATAAACATCTGACTCTATACACATTTCTCGGTTTATTCTTCGTTGAATTCATAAATTCGTGGTTCGCTGTGATCCATGAAACCCACAAAAATTGGTATACCACGAATAAAAATGAATCCACAGTATATACAATGCTTATCACCATCAAACACAGATCAAGTTCAAAGTATGGGGTGTTACTTTCGCCATTCTTGAGTTATGTCCCTTTATAAATGGAAAAATTGCAGAATTTGCCTTTTCTGGTTTCATACTTTTCTTTGTCACATATAAATGTTTTCAAACTTATATACAAAGCATATAACCACCAAACATTGATTAAGTTTGAAATTTGATGGCATCACTTTCTCTATTCTTGAGTTATGTTCCTTCATATATGGAAAAGTTAGTGAATTGTTGTTTCTGTACTATAATTTTACTTTGCCTCAACCAAATCTTATCAAACTTATACTCAATGCTTTTTACCACCAAAACAGAGATCAAGTTCAAATTTGGGTGGCGTAACTTACGCTGGTCTGGAGTTATCCCATCACTGTTTGTTATTGAACAATGATGGCACTCAAACACCCAATCAATCTCTAATGACAACACACAGTAAGTTTCAAAGGAAACAAAACGCCAATAGGTATGAATTAGTACATTGACTGTTGCATATTTACAAGCAGGGGCATATGTGTCCAATGGACACATTCTTCTTTTATTGTTGTAGGGAGTTACCTAATGTCTACAACCAAAGCAGGAAGGGTTGTTGGGATGAAAAACAGTTTCAGGAATGTGGATTTTTGGAATGTTCATTCAGTAACCAGTAGACTATCAGTAAAATATGTAACAGCTCAAACTCTTCAAGATATGAATGTTAGTATTGTGCAAATACCATTTCCACAGGGACTGCATGATAAAAGATCCAAATCTTTACATTCAAGACCAAATATATTACGAAAAAGGTCAGGTAATAGAAACGATACTAACACAACCTCTGATGTTTCTAATGAAATAAAAACTGAGAAAGTTGAACACGTGATAGAAAGTGTTAATCATGTGACTGGAAGTGCTGATCATATGGCGGGAAGTTCAGACCACCAGTACACTGGAGGACCCAACATCATTAAAGAAGAAGTTATTTGCCCAATCTTAATAAATGGGGAAACAATTGATTTAACATTTGATGATGATGCAGATGCAATTGAAATAATAGACTGAAATCTTGAATAGACAAGATTTTTATTTCTAAATTTATTTTGAGTCACAACAGATTTATATCCATACTTTTACAAGAAAAAAAAATGACTCATGCAAACATTTTTTTTATGTACAATTATTTCAAAAGTATATGTAGCTTCTGTCAAACAATAGTAAATGATATAAGAAATTTATATAAAAAAACATCCCCCTTATTGAGCCTACATATATGATAAATGCATAGACTTTTTACAAGTATCAGTCCAAATGTTGGCTAACTAGGGGGCACCTTATTTTTCAAAATCCTGGATCCACACCTACCAAAGACTGGTCGGCTCGAAGTCAGAATAATGTGTCCAGATAGAGTGACATGTCTTCCTGCAGACTGTTATATTGTAAACTAGGTCAATAAAAATCTGGCTTAGTGTGTGGGTCTTGTACAAAGAAAAGTTTATAATTTGCCATTGACCTTCAAAAGCCATCCATCCATTATAAAGTGATATCATATACTTTGTACATTACTACATATTAAGTTTCATTTGCTTACAAGAAATGAACAGAATTCAGGAAAATGATTTTTTTTTTTATGGAATGACTGTAATATGTTTCTGTCTATGAAGAAATTACATAAAAAATGTGGTGCACACTGAATAACCAGTGTAGCAGGTTATTTAAAAGTGTGCACCACATTTTTTAGGTTATTTCGAATAGACAGAAAAAATATTACAGTCATTCCTATGATTTAATTCTAATAAATTCCATTTTTAAGGTGTAAATTTTGAAAAAGCGTTGGTGACGTCACGGTCACATGACAAAATTATGTCTATGAGCCGATAGACAAAACACTTTCAGCCAATCAGAAGACGTGTTACATCCAAAATTAAATTATTTGTTCATAATAATTATTTAAAAACTTTACTAGTATTATTGCAAAAGCATTCAATAAGTTATTGGAATCAATGTGTGGAAAAGAATAAAAACAAGTGATGTCTATAACACTCTTTCATTCTCTATCTATAAAAATAATTATACAGAGTGTTAGAAATTAAAGAATCTATAAATACTTTTTCAATAGAGATTATTTCTACTTCCTAAATAGTTCGAGCTGGAAGTATGAGTAGGGTAGCAGAAAACAGAATATTTATTTGCTTGAATAAAATGGTGAATAACCATTTTAAAGAATGTTATATACACAATTCTAAAGCATTCCTGAATCACATATTTGACTGTAAATATTTTTATCTAATAAATTATTTTGGATAATTCATATTTTTAATTTATTTAACTATTTATACTCCAAAATACTGCATGTCACTTAATGCAGTTTCTGAGTACAACCATGACATAAGATCATAATCTATTATACTTATCTAAGAATTTGTATAGTTAGACTACTATACACATCCTTGACTTATCTTGAACATTTTATTTAATAAAAGAGAATAATGGAAAGGCTCCATTTGTGGTCCTTTAATTTGTTTATAGGAAAATGTAAAAAATCTATCAATAATAAGCCTTCAGTCTGTTTCGGAAGATTGACAAGACATATCAATATATTTTAATACTGGTTCAGATCCCTTCTTATAAGTTTGCTTAAAGCCCTCAAACATTGATTTATAAAATCCTGATTGATATTTTTGCAATAAATGACATAATTATTTTTTTACTTTATGGTAAAAAATGCTAATTTGAAAAAATTAAGGACTTATTTCATGGGCAAAAAACCTATCTTGTGACCCATCATACTTCTATATCATGTCATCACAAATATGAAGTGTTGAATGACCAAATGGATAGGGTAAAATGTCATAGAATTTTATATTTTGAAAAGAAAATTGTCACTTGTTCACTAACTTTTGTAGAACTAGATGTACCTTTAAAATATATAGTTATTTATATATCTGTTTATTTAATTTTGACAGTTATTTGTCTATAAAATACCATTGTATTTTTAAACAAAGTTTTTTCCTATTTAGTTATCTTTACAACTATATATATTTTTATGACAGATGAATTCTAAATATTCTTTCAAATCTATAGTTATTTAGTTGTGTTGTTTAAGTGTTCATTGTAATTTGTACATGATAAATGTGTCTTGCTATGCATACCATCAATATAGATGTTCTGTATTCATGTCTGAAGAAAATAGCATTGTTAACCTAATAAGTATATGTTAAACTTGTTAGTAAATGGATTTAATGACCTCCAAACTTGTGTTTTAATACTGCCAAAAGAAAGTATGAGACTTATACAACATGTATGGGGTTGAAGGTTGAATCCCCAGCTTACTCGAAACCAAAGACATTAAACTAAACATGTTGCAAGTATGAGCAAAGACCCTTAGGTTCAAAGTCAGAATAATGTGTCAGATTTGAGTGATATGTCTTTCTTTGGACTGTTCTGTTACCTTGTCAACTAACTGATTTGCAATCCTGCTCATCCTGTCTTCCAAAGCATGGTTTGTATTTATATCAAATTAATATGTTCTCATACTGATATGCATGTTATATTTGCAACTGGACGTTGAACACCAATCTGCCATGTCATCTATCATTCTTGATGGTATTTTTCATTTATATGAATCGATATTGAAAATTTCATGCATATTAGTCTTCAATTGTCTTATTATAAACAAGATTTGGGCACTACTTAAAATTCATCTAGTATAGCTCAGCACCAACGTAAACGTGTTCATGTTGTGAGATATTGACTCAAATCAACAGTTCAAATCTGATTGACCAACCAAAAAGACACAAGATTCTCCACTCTTTCTCAAAGTTATCTGTTAGTCCTGGAGGATATACCTCACAGTAGCCAGGACTTCAATACTGCAAAGATTGCAATGGTACATTTATGCTTCAAAATATACAGTTGATAACCATGTTATTGTACTAAAAGTCAGTGGTAAAAATTCCTTTATAGTAAAGGTCGATCATAAACTGTTTTAAACTGTTTTGTGAAGGATCAACCCTATACACCCCCACCACTGCTCACAGTAGCTGTTGGTGGTAAAATGAAACAATTGTGAATTACTTAATTTGGGTAATTTGAATAAAATTTTTTTTAGAAATTACATAACAGTTCTGAGATGATAAAAATAAGAATTTGGTTTGGCCGTTGCACATTTTGAATTTACGTTCATCAGGAACACTATACATCCCAAAAAAATTGAAACCAAAGATGAATACTCCAGGAGCTATTTGATCAAAAGGAACCTAAAAAGTATAGTCAAATCACTTTGATTGAGGGAGTCTGAATGTACGTTTCTTGATTTCCAAATTTATCAATGAAGAAATAAATAAAAAGGTACAAATCTTGTCAGTGCCAAAGCACTTGTCTACTGAGCTGATGATACACTCTGGGACTAGCAATTCACGAGCAGCGACATTGACTCATACTAGCAAGGAATTACATCTTAAATACTAGTGTGCTAGAAAATTAAAATAACTATAAAAAATGTGTTCTGTATTTAAAAGATATTGAGATTTTAAGGATGGTAGAAAATTGAGAGATACCCGAATTTTTGCAGTCCTGTTTTCTGTGACTCGAATGTTTTGTGGTGGCGTGCTCGCCTGAGGTCGGGCATGGAAGGTCGTCAGTTCCATTCCTAGTCGTGAAAAAAAACCATTAACTTGAACTTCAGATTTTTTTTATTCACCGCGATGTTTTGAACTATTGTCATATTGTGCAGATCAAATGAGCAATAAGGTTGACCAACTTTATAATGACAACAGAAAATCTCGGCGTGACATCCTATCACTCATTTGAAACCAAATTCTGTGAAAATGTCTTTGTAAGATGCTGATTTGAAGCATTTATCTTTCCTCCACTTTCAGCGAACCATACGGATAACTAAGATATAGTCATCCCTTATTTTCTCCTATTCGAAATGCCATGGTAGAGAGCACGTTCCTTCGGTTGGATAGTGTCACGCTCTTGGCACAGGGACTCGGTAAGCAGATTAAAATTTTGTTAATGTTTTGCCAATTTTTTTTCGTATTTCCGGTCTATTTGTATTACATTATTAACGTTGGCTTTAATATTTCTTTTTTTTTCTAGCAATGTGCAGTTTACTATCCATATCCGTGTACTGAAAAATCCTTTTGATACACTCTTTCCCGCCCTAAATCCCAGTCAACCTACTTATAAGATTTAGTGTTTATTTGTTCTCACACTGGATGAGCATGAGATATTTGCCACTGGACGCTAATCAAACCATGCAATCAATTTTGTGCTTTTGGACAATCCAAAACTGACATCATTGCAGCAATCAGATTTTTTACATACGAGTGCAGTGATTAAATCGTAAAAAATGCTCTAAAAGGCTTTTATTTTAAACTCGGTTGACATTTTCGTACAATGTTTATTGGTAGCTAAGACGAAAACAGTTTTGAGTTATCTTTCTTCGTACAACTTAGTATTTATAACAAACCTTTCTAAAATTGTTCGTTTATAAATTTTTAAATCATAAAGAAACTAAGGTTTCAACTCTCTTAGGCAAAGTTGACCTTAGATGGATGTGGTTATTTTTTGTGTCCTTTTTAGTCATAAAACTCTTCAACTGTTAAGGTTCTTATACATCCTTGGCTTTCAAATATTCGGATTTGAAGGTAAATCCATGAAATTTATAACGTGTTGTTTTCATTTTTTATTTTTAGTATGATTTCGGATAACTTGTATTTTCCTAGCACTTAAATCAAATTATCTCAAACTAGAATGATGTAAACGTTGTTTAATATTAGGCATTCATTTTAAACTAAGAAATATCATTTTAACTGATATGACAGAGCGGATATTAGATAATCTGAGGAAATAGAATAGTCGAAAACCATTTAAAATAACAAGTAAAAGAGGGGTTAATATTTTGATTGTGCTGCTTAAGATCACCAGTATCATTCATTTTTACATCTAACTGAATTGGTAACTACATATGTATATATATAGTTCTCCTTGTGAACGCCCTGTTTGACAGCGGACGTATATTTGTTTTAAAAATCGACATCATGAACCCATGTTGAAAGTATGATCCATCTGTTTGGGATGGATAAATACACAGCTACGTCCGGTCGGAATATAGGACGTTATATCTAATATCTTTTGTAGCAAGAGTGCTACACTCACTGCACGTTGAAGATCCCACTGCAATATTTTTTAAAAGCAACCGTAGGTGGCCTGTTCCAAGGTTAAAAATCATCCTCAATCCAACAAATCTCAATTTTCAGCGGCAGTAGAAACTTCGTTGTCAACCCACTGTAGATCCCATGCCTATGGCATATATTGTTAATTTGTTCTTGTCCTGTATGACTAGTTAATGGCTTGAATTATTTGATATTGGGCGTTAATCAACAACATTTAACCAATCAATCAATGTGGCCTTAGTTATAATTGCCACACATTGGGCATTGCCAGGTGGTTATTTGTGTACCCTTTTAACACAGTCACTTCGGTACTTGTCGAGTTGTTCCACTTACAACCGATGATCAATGTAATGGCTCCCAAAGAGAATAAACACTGCAATTATGGTTTTACCATTTTTATGCCCCACCTACGATAGTAGAGGGGCATTATGTTTTTCGGTCTGTGCGTTCGTTCGTTCGTCCGTCTGTCCCGCTTCAAGTTAAAGTTTTTGGTTAAGGTAGTTTTTGATGAAATTGAAGTCCAGTCAACTTGAAACTTAGTACACATGTTCCCTATGATATGATCTTTCTGATTTTAATGTCAAATTAGAGTTTTGATCCCAATTTCACGGTCCACTGAACATAGAAAATGATAGTGCGAGTGGGGCATCCGTGTACTGTGGACACATTCTTGTTTCATAATATGTTTGTAATAACTTTTAAAACTTTTCTTCTGCATATTTTTAAATTTAGATATTAGTACTTGAATCTAACGTTCGGAATAAAAGTACAATAATAGCATTAAAGGGAAACTTCGCAAAAAAATGAAAAATTCATATTCTGTTCATTATGTATAAAAAAGCACAAATTCATAGATATTAAAGTTTTATTCTGCAAGTTAAGAGATCACCATCGATTTTAAATTTAGAGTATCAATTCTCCGCATGCGGCCATTTTGACATCCTCCCCGAATATTGACCACGATATATCTATAAACCACAGAGGACCAAAACAAGCAGTAACCTAACGTAGCCGTCATTGAGTGTCGATATCTTGTCAAGCGTACGGTTGTTTTATCCGACAAGGAAAGCATAAACAGTTTCCCGGGTCACAAAAAATATTATGATAGACATGGTTGTGCAACCTTTCCTAACTAACTTGATACGGAAAATGTAATTTTATATATATTTTTTAAATAACTAGTACTAATAGTATGGTCTGTCGTTTTGAAACTGTTTTGTTTACGAAGTATTTAAAACAAGAAATTGAAATTAGTTAAAAAGTCAAAGTTATAAATAAGTGTTCCGTGTAAAATTGTTTTTGAAAATCTAGTTTGTTCATAATTGTTTTATGTAATAAACTTTTTAAAATAAATTCGGACCTTCCCTTATCTGATCACCAGAATGGCTAAAGGAATTGTTCCCAGAGGTATTGTGAGGTGACACGTACAGGTATTCAAACGATTTCCTGTCGGGCTTTAAAACTGTTATTACACAATTACATAAAACAAGTTTGTGCATCACTTCTTTTCTGGGGGTATTGATCAGTGTACACGGCCGATAACATGTAACTTCCATTTTGAATATATCAGGTGTAATATACAACTTTGTATAGCGTATCCGATAGTGATATACTAGTCATTGCTAAACTCAAACGCTTGTTTATAAATAACATTTTTGGTGTAAAGAATGATATTTAAGAAAATTTAAATAATTAAAAAAAAAAGATTTGATGAAATAAAAATCTATTTACACATTTTCCAAGGGTAAATTGGGGAAAATGTAAGTATATACTCGTTGTCAATAATTATGGACATTTTGAAACATACAAATATTGATTTAACAAAATGTGCGGCACTTGTCGATCATTGGTTTATACGCCTAGATGGAAGGTTTAATACGGAACTATGGATAGTCGCAATATAGAACTAATATCATACAAGTATATTGAATATACGAGAGAAACATCCAGAACCAATCTGATTTAAATACAGGTCGATATCTAACTTGCTTTGGTTCATCGAAGCTAAACACATAGTAAAATCACAGATTTATATTTAAGATTATTTCGAACAGTTTAAGAAATT